AATAAGGACTGTCCCATACCGTATCCGTGTGCGGTTGTCCAGAAAACATAACGAGGATGAAGATTCACCAAACAAGCCCTATATTTTGGTTACTTATGTACCTGTTACCACCTTCAAAAATCTGCAGACAGTCAATGTGGATGAGAACTAACTACTGATTGTCAAATAAAGTTAGAAAACCAAAAAAAAAGAGAATTTACTGGGCACCCCTCAGGCACTTGGGGACATGAAGGTAAACAGAAGAAACCAGAGCCGCCCTGGTGGGGCCAGGCTAACACCTGGTGGAGGCAGTGAGGCCACCTCAGAGAGTGGAATACACCACTAGGTGCTAAAAGCTGGGATGGGGAAATATATATTCACATTTGATTATATATGCATAAAAAATATCCGCTAAAATATCCCCCAAACCAGTTAAGTGATGACTTAGGTCAGGACTGGGAGTCAGTACAGAAGAAGCACAAAAGCAGGATTTTCTCATTGCATGTATTTATACTTTTAAACATATAAATGTGCTATACATTCAAAAATTGGGCAAATTAAAAAAATAAAGTCGAGAAATACAGCCTATTAGCATTTACTGTTATGGAAGTTTCCTATATTTTTTCTAAACGAATTCTAAGAAGGGAATGCCATATGTTATGGAGCTTTTAGCACAAATTCCAGCACCTACATCAAGCTCAGAGGCAAAGCGTCGCCACAAATCTAAGCCTGGGGATCAGTAAGAGCCTCCACAAAACACGCCCAGGAGCCAAGGTGCAGTTCCTTCCCAGGGTGGGACAGAGAGGGCACGCAGATGCAGCACCAGCCTGCAGGTCCACCCACAACCTCTAAGAGGAAAGAGAGTCAGGAGGAAACAGAATCACTTGTCAATGACATCCAGTCACGACTTAATTTGCAACAATACAATGGCATTTTCCACTCCAAGACGGTCAATGAAACAGGGCTGGATAGGGGCCTAGATTCTGGTTTCTGCTCTGACACCATCTCACCAGGAGAGTTTCCTCATCTGCAAAATGAGAGGTTAAACTAAAAATCTCTGGAGTTCAATTTTCAAAAGCATTAAAATTCTACGACTCAGTGAAATGCTAGGTCTATATCCACCCCGGTGTGATGTGAGCAATCACATAAACCTCTGTGTCATGAACTCAAAGTTCTTCATCCCTATTACACTGAGGAAACAAAGGGGAACACGGCTGCTTTCCCATGCAGAGCAGGAGATAGAGCAAAGACCGTGGTGAAGGCCTAACCACATGTTACTAATGCATGAGATCAAAAGCTTCATTTTGAGATTTTCTTTAGATTCACCAGCAAAATGATTTTTTTTTAAAAAGTGCTGCATGTAAAATAAGAACACTTCCTATTTTCCTTCTAAAGAACATAAAGCATTATAAACATACTCATTTGTCCCCCACTACTCTTGAGCAGCAAGTGTGACCTCATCATATCTATTTCTACAGAAAAGGGGTCAACGAGAAAGAGTCCAGGAGAGGCCAGCATCAATCTCCAGCTGGAGAACAGAGGAGCCAGACTCTCCTGTGATGTTCCACCCTTCAGCCCCAAGACAGACACAAGCCCCTGAGTTCCCAACCAGAAAAGTTCTGATTTTATCAGCTGAGCTGTTGCAGTTGTGGCTACCATCCTGATTATGTCTGAGAGGTGCCAGAGATAAAAGACAAAAATAAACACTGCTGACAGGCAGCTGTGACAGGTACTTTTAGAGAATGATGGGAAAGGAACCAGTCCAGAAAGTGCAAGTCTGAGGAAAAAACCCTTAGACCAGCAAAATCCAAGAGATACAAAACAAACTTATTCTAAAGTTTTAAGTGATGCATGACTAAAATTCTTACATCACTAAGAAACTGAGAGACCAAGAATTTTTAAAAAGAAGCTTGCAGTATTATAAAGATGACACGGGAAAAACATACCATAGAAGGAGAAACAGAAAATTTCCAACCATGTAGGAAATGCAGCACAACACCAAGGTTTTTTCACAGGCAGATTACCAGTGCAAATTAAGCTGGTGAGTGTCCCAAAATGCCAATACTAAATGAATCAGCAGCTGAGGTGAATTACCCTTCCATCCTGGTGTCATAACCAGACGTCACCTCTGAGCCTCCCCTGAGGTGGGAGGGAGTGCTGGCTCCAGAGCAAGTCTTGGATACTGGGCTGGCCTTGCTGGCTGAGAGACACTGCACACACAGCCCTTACCAGCTGCGGGTGTGCATGTGACTGACTGCACGACAGTCAGGAGGACTGGAGGGGACAAGCATTATATCAACACCGGTTAAACACACAGACCATGCCGTGTCATGTTCTGTATCGCACTTGCTGTTACCTGGAGTTGCCCTGTTCACTGATTGGCTGACTTTTTACTGCCTGCACCCCACCAGGATATATGCTCTGGATCTGTAGACATATCTGTCTTGGTGACCACCACATACCCGCAGCTCCTGGAAGAGAGCAAGGCCACATGCTCAGAAAATGTCTAATGCAGAATGAGCCAAATCCAGGGTCATCCTTCGTGAGAGTAGGGTCATATTACCTAGAGTTCATGACAAGTGCATTTGAGAGAGGCATAAATCTGAACTTGAGGCAGGAAACAGGGCAGGACCTTCCCAACATGGCGCCCACCATAGAACAGACTCATGGCACCAACCCTCCACATGTTGGTGAGCATATCTGAGACCCCATTTCCAATGGGGAGGTGTCCCAGGCAGCTGTGGAAAGTACAGTGAGAGCTGTTAGGTAAGCTGGGAAATAACTAGTTTTAGGCTGGGCCTATTACAAGTCCTTTCAGAGAAAGCCCCAGAAGTTCATGGAATACTTTAGAAGACAGATAAAGGACCAGGAAACTAATATTTTTAGCCAAGTGAATGAAGCACAGAAATCAATACTTCCCATAGTTTATTCAGCTACATACATGACAATCCTACAAAAAATAAATTGGAAATCAATACCTGACCCACTAAAACCTCAAGAAGATGCTGGGTAAACTACTTGGGAAGGGTAGCTAGCACCTGCTCCTGATCTATTAAAAACAGAAAAGAAGTAGTCATTCAAAGCTGGAATTATGGGTATATGATCCCTAGAGATCTGGTCTGACATGAACTTTATGATTCTAGACATCACCAAGCACTGGTGAGAGATCTGTTGGGATGGGGGTGGGAGGAAGGAAGGATTAAGCAGCCAGCTGCTTCCTGATGCAGCTAGGCCACCTGCCACTCACTGACCCACGTCAATGGTACCATAAAGTCTTGGGGCTCTGTCTCTGCTCCTTTCACAGCAAGTGAGCACGCTGTCTTCAGTGCCACAGAATGAGCTGCATTCATCCGAGACTGGCTATCCCTCCTTACTGGAAGTCCCAGTCTTCTTAGGGCTGCCACAGTCCCCACCCAGACTCTTACACAAAGAACACGTCCAGGGCATGTCTGCCTGTTTCGAGTGGAGCCCAGAGCCACAGCTTTGCCACTTCATTCATTCAGCCATTCAATCATTCAAAAACTTATTCAGAGTGCTCACTGTTCCAGGCACAGAAGATGATACTGGTCAGTAATTTAGTAACTTCTCTCGGCCTCAATTTCTCATCTATAAAACGGAATATTACTAACTTTGCAGGCTGCAAGTTTTCATGAAATTGAAACAAGAATACAGCTTCTGGCATATATCAAATTTTTTATTATGTGACATCCCATTTTGCATTGTTAGTTACATGAGGTTTTTTTAAAAGTGAAGCCTACCAGTTCACAACAAGCTATGATGTTATTCTCATCAAGCTTCCCTGAGTAAACATCTCTCTCCCATTATAAGATTAAACTTCTACTCATTCAAGCTTATTAGATGGCCGGTTTCAGAAACTAACTCAAGTTGGAACTGCTACAGCCACACCCTAACGCGGTTCCCTGCTCCAAAGAAAAGCCCTACAGAGCATAAGCCCTCTGTGTCACTGTGAACTGGGATTCTTTGCTTTGCCTCTCAGGACTGGCCGGAGCTGTGTTTGTCACTGAGGGGAGAAAAAAACCCAAGGACATGAATGAGCTCTCCACATGACCCTATGAGAAGCCACATGGCTGGCCTCAGCGAGCGATGGGTATGACAGGCCTGGCCATCACACCCCTGATCTGTGACAAAAGCACAGGAAGCAACAGTAGGGAACTGGCCCAGGCAGGGATGGGACACCCTGAGTGAACCTTAGAAAGAAAGGTGCAGGGACGGGGAAGCTTACCCTTGGTACCATGTCTCCTGTGTGAATAGGAGGAAGTGAGCAGATAGCAAGGAGAGCAGGAGGGGCCCGTGGGGCAGGCTGGGCCTGCCCCTCCCTCCCTGTCTCCCTCAAGGCCATCTTGCTGCCCTGGGAAGATTGCAGCACTGAGAGAGCTCTCTATGGTGATTAAAGGTCCTAAAGAATTAGATCATAAGTCTCTCATCTCTGTGACACTCAGCTCATCATCACACATGCGAGGTGCTACCACAGTGTCACTTTGTCTAGTGTGAGTTTACTGGGTCCTGTGCTGGCAAAGCCAGTGAGTGTGAACACACCTTAGTGATCAATGTGAGTTTAGTTGGCTAGACTTAGGAGGCTGAAGGCAGATTTAACATTTAAAGAAAATGGACAATCCACCAAGGTAACATTTGAGTATTCTCTTGAAAACCATGAAGCTGGCCATCTCAAATAGAGGCTGAGAGTGTCTGTGACTTTGTTTAGCAAAAGAGGTGAGGACTTCGGATGCATGGGCTTCTCTCTCGGGAAGCCACAAGCCACACACACACGTCTGGTCATCGGGTGCCGCTCAGAATGAGAACATTGAGTGCTACTGCACACAGTGAGGAGATGCTCACAGACCCCTGGGGTCTGCAAAACTCATGAGCAGAAAGTGGGAAGGATGGTGCATGCAGCCCACTCCTGGGGCAGAAGAAGGAACACACCTCCCATCCTGAGCCCATCCCAACCCTCCCAAGATGGCTCAGACTGACTTGGGTAAGCACCCACCTAAGGCCATTACCTGCTTGCCCTTCACCACGTGCTTGGGCACTGGCACCCTGACCTCCAGGTCAGTGTAGTCCTGTGACCAGGTGTAGTTCTCTCGGACAGCACCATTGTAACTGTCAGGGTTTTTCTGGAACTGCTCCTGAATCCTGAGAAAGAACAAGAAAGGTGAGATGCCAACCAGCAGACATGAGTGGAGGACCCCACAGTAAGCCCAGCACACACCACTCCTACGTCCTCAAGGAGGGACCAAACCGAGTTTCATCTCAAGCTCACTTGCTTTTGCATCTGTAACCTCCCCATCTTTTGAGGCGAATTCCTTTCTGATCCTCCTACATGGCCTCCCAGGAAGTCATAGGACAAGGAGAAAGCTACAGAGAAGAAACCCAGGTGCAGAATCCTTGAGTTTAGGAAAAGTATCTGTGCCACAGTCAAAGCACAGCCTGGTCCTGCCAGCCTTCACAATGCTCAGAACCAGGCCTGTTAATTAAGAGTGCCATTATTAATAACATCCTTGGGCTCATGGGTGTTTCGTTTCTTATAAACTGGTTGGCACAGACTATCTTCAAAAAAAAAAAAAAGCAGGGCCGGCCCGGTGGCACACTCGGTAGAGTGTGACGCTTGGGAGTGCGGCGGCGCTCCCGCCGAGGGTTCGGATCCCATATAGAGACCGGTCTGCTCACTGGTTGAGAGCGGTGCGGGCACCACACCGAGGGTTGCGATCCCGTTGCCGGTAGCAGTACGGGCGCGACACTGAGGGTTGCGATCCCGTTACCGGTCACGAAAAAAGGCAACAAGGAAAAAAAAAAAAAGCAAACCAACTTTGTCCTGAAGCTGCTAAACATCAATCCTAATCCAACCCTTAGGTTTTATTTTCTCCTAGTAAATAAATTAAAGCCAAAGGGACGGCATTAAAATCTTGTGCATCATTATTAAGATGTAAGTGATATGTTTAATGAGACAGCCTAAAAACCTAATCAACCAAGCCCTATTGTATATGCCTGTTACAAACACAGCACAGATGCAAAAAGGACTAGCCAAGAAGCTGATGTTAAAAATACAGTATTTGTGATAAAACTTAACAATGTTAATAATATAAACACTATATAAAAATAAGTTTAGACTCACAAGTCAATTATAGTGAGTTACAGATCTAAATTACAAACAAAAGCCTAGTCAAGACAAGGCAGCAGTTATGAAAAGGGAGCATTCCCACAGCAAGTGCAGCTCAGTCACCTTCTCCAGGGCCTGCTCACAGACGAGCAGACGAAACTTGGCAGGGAAAAAGCCCCATGGACCCGCACACAACGAGTGTACTATGATTGTACCCACGCAGGAAGACATGAAACTGTGTACACCTCCATCTGTGTAGATGCAGGTACTAGACAAAGTCGGGAAGGATGGCTAAAGAGGGCTCACTTTTTCTGGCTGAAATTTTAAGACAAGAATATACAAGGATACTTCAAAAAGTTTGTGGAAAAGTGGAATTGAAAGATAATACAAATCTTTCAATGAACTTTTTGAAGTATTCTTGTTTTCACCTATGATTTGTATGCCTTGCCTCTTATGTGAGGCTGGACCTCCACAACAATCCAAGCTCTCTAGGTTGGGTGACTGGTGGCTTTTAAGGGCTGAATTGTGCCCCCCAAAATGATATGTTGTAGTCTTAACCCCCAAGACCTCAGAATGTGACTTTACTTGGAAAAAAGGGTCTTTACAAGGGTGATCCAGTTACAATGAGGTCACTAAGGTGGGCCTAATCCAGTATGACTAGCATTCTTAAAAGAAGGACTTTGGACACAGAGACAGATGCACACAGGGAAAACGATGTGAAGATAGAGGCAGAAATTAGAGTAATGCGGCTGCATGCCAAGGGAAGCCAAGGCTTGTCGGCCACCACTTGGAGCTGAAAGAAGTGAGGAAGGATCCTCCCCCAGCGCCTTCAGAAGGAGCACGGCCCTGCCCATACCTTCATCTCAGACTTCCCTCTTCAGAAGTATAAGAGAATCGATGTCTGTTGTTTAAGCCACCCATTCTGTGGTACTTTGTTATGGTGAGCAAACACAGTGGCTAAGGAAATTAATTTCAATCACAGGTGCTATTCAAAATTCAGCATTGAATATTGGCAGGATCAGGCACCGACCAATCAGAATGGATGCCAGCCTGAACTGCGCACACAGGCGGGTCACTGTGGAACACAGAGATGACATGGGAGAACCAAGAGCCGCAGAAGGCACGTGCTCAATGGCACAAGAAAAGAGGGTATGGGGATGGAAAGTAAACAATGTCAATACCTTGAAAATCAAAAAAGATTAGTGTAGATGCAACTAGCAAAGGTATTTTCAAAGACTATTTAGTGATGTGGAGAAAGCTTTCAACATACTATAAAACTGAAAAAAGGATATACAACTTTTATGTATGGTACAGCTTCAGTTTCTAAGAAGAAAAAATATATATACACACACACATGTATAAAAAAGACTGAAGACTGAAAGGAAGCATATTAAACCTTTGTGGTTACCTCTGGTGGTAAGATAACAAGGAATCTGACTTTCTTCTTTGTACGTTTAGGTATTATCCAAATTCCCTACAATACGTTGGCTTTTTTATAACCAAGACAAAAACGGTTCTCTTTTAAAAAGTGTCATCAACAGGAGACAGTGATGTGTCCTCCCTGGAAGGGGTGTGGAGGAGCCAGGCACAGTGGAAGGGACCTGCTCCCACCCCCACCCCAAGTTTCCACAACCCCTTCCCATGTGAAAGCTCACATCTGACGTGGACACACTTGAACGTGCGGAGGATAACTCCAAAAAAAACAACAGGATGCAGCAGCTACCTCTATGCTAGTAACTGGGAGGAAAGAGACTTCCTTCTCAGTGGACAGCCTTGTGGGTAGATTACCACTTGAAAATAATGAAAATCATGAAAACATAAATAAAATACCCCCCACACACAAAATAAAGACCAACACGGCCCTAGCACTTGACAGACATCAGGGAATAAACATGAACACTCTTCAGATCTTCTCTCAAGAGAGGGGGCAGGAGAGTACTTGGGGCCACCCACCTCCAAAAGCACAGCAGTCACCCCGCCCACACTGCCACTCAGAGGGGCCCTGCCTCCTCCAAGTGGAGGGCTGCCAGTCTCAGCTGGGGATGGGGGAGATAGGGAAGGGAACACCTGCCTCCAAAGCTGCGTGCCATGGAGGGCGCCTCACACCATCCTGCCACTGCATCCCCACAGTCCTAGCTCCCCTGGCATGGCCCCGAAAGCCTCCTTCCAAAGGAGGCAGCAGAATCACTCCTAAGACAGTCCTAGCAAGTTGATGGGTGCTTTTTTTGTTCTCTTAACACTCAGAGTCCACGTGCACTTTAAATAAAATTGATTATTTCTAGCTGACAGTATGTAAAAATAAGCACCCTGTCAAGTGCAGGTGGCTCTGTGCCTCACTGTACCGTCCTTCGGTCACCACTGCAGCTGTGGCCTGGGTGGCAGGGAGGCGGGGGAGTGTGCGTTGATGCTTCTGTACCAAGAGTGGGAGCAGCAAAGTGAGTCAGCAGCCAGGCGCAGATTATGAGAAGGTCTTGCTGTGGCTCCCACTCCTGATGGATGGGATAACAAGGTTCTAAATGTGCTAAAGGAAAAACATGGAACCAGCTCTGCTGCCTGCTGGATGCTGTGTCCTCTGGGTGCTCTGTCCTCGGGGACAGGCTGTCTCTGTCTCAGCACTGGTAAGCAGGGAAGCCAGGTACCAGAGTCACCTGCACAAGTGCGAGCTGGCAGCACCATCATCAGAGACACACCTGGTCAGGAACCTGACCCATCCAGTCTGCCCATCCAAGCACTGCCACAAGTAACAAAAGTCCCTAGTGCTACTAGAAACTCTCCTTTTATTTGTTTTTAAAAACCAAAGAATCAGATTTAGAACAGCTAGTGGAGAGTATGAAAAACAGTGAGTAAAAGGAAGGCAAAGCCCTAACCTAAAGATTTTTGCCCAGGAAGCTAGAGCCCCAAACTGAAAACAGATTTATAACTCAATGGGGCGACAGTCCTGCCCTCAAGCTCTTTTCCAGAGAGAGAATGCATATAACAGGCGTTCACTCCCTGACTGAAGGGAACAGACTGGCTCCCCCAAGTCACAGCCAGTGACTGCAAAGTGGAGGTGTTTGCACCAGAGGGTCCCCCTGTAGCTCTAAGCCTGAGGCCCAGCTCGCCACCACCCCTCCTCGCCCCAGATACAATGTTCTTTCCTGTCTCTTGCCATCAATCCTGTCTACCCTTTAAACTCTCACACTTGCCTTTAACTTGCCTTTAACGACCTAGTACAAATAATGCCCTGTCACCCTCATCTCCCTCGGTCACCCCAGGTGCGAACGCTCACACCTCACCACCACTGGTTGACTTGACTGCCCTCTATACCCTCGGGGGGCTGGTGGGAGGACGCTACAACATGTGTATTCAGTGTGCATGCATGTGCTGTGGTCTAAATGTCTGTGTCTCCCCAAGATTCATATGTTGAATCCTAACCCCAAAGTGATGGTATTAGGAGGTATGACCTTTGGGAGGTGATTAGGTCGTCAGGGTGGAGCCCTTGTGAATATGATTACTGCCTTATAAAACAGACCCTGTAGAGCCCCCTTGCCCCTTCCACCATGTGAGGACACAGTGAGAAGGTGCCGCCTATGGACCAGGAAGCTGGCCTTCACCAGATACAGAATCTGCCAGTGCAGATTCTTCCAGCCTCCAGAACTGTGAGAATTAAATGTCTGTAGTTTACAAGCTACCCAATCTAAGCAACTTTGTTATGGCAGCCCAAACAGACTAAGACAGTGTGTGCATATATGTGCGTGTGATATGTGTATGGTGCGTATATGGGCATAGTGTAGTGTGTGCATGTGTGCGGCATGTGCGCCATGGGTAAGAGGCAGTCAGCAGCCAGGGGCTCAGTCACTCTCCCTTAATACTCCCCGTCTGTCTCTCCAATTTCCTTCTAACCCACTCATCCTGCATGTCCCACATCTGGATGGAGGCCACAGCCATGGCCTCTCTCAGCCTCTTCTCACACCACTGTAACCACATTGCCCTCAACAACCTTCTGTGACTCCCCATGGCCCAGGAGACAAAGCCCAGTGCCTCACCAAGGCACTCAAGGCAGCCCATGATTGAGTCATCGTGGTTCCTTCCTGCCTTCTTTCTTCTCCTCCTACAAATGAACCCTCCTTCCTCTCTATCAATTC